GGCGGGGGAGTTGTGAGGAAACCCGAATAAAAGGTGATGGAAATGGCCAATCAATGGCAACGATTGGGGCCCAGGAGGTCGTTTCCCGCCCGTATATCTTACTCTCTTGAAAACCTTCAGCAGGACGTACAGGAAAACCAGTGCTGCAATAAATTGCACAGACCAGCTCGTGAGTACAGCAATGAGGTCCTCCATATCTCTCACCTCTACGTCTTCTGCACCGCGGATGAAAGCCCCTGACTGAAATAATGACCTCAATGATGATCGAGGCCAAAACACGGGATCCCAACCATGTGTGGTATTTGAAGTGTCACCGCAAGCTGTACATGTACATGCAAGCCGAGTTTGATTGTCCCGTGTTCGGTAAAAGTGTTCTCATAAAAAAAAATACGAAATTTCGAGTATAGGGTATAGAGAGGTAATTACTTAATAGCACCTCATGTTAACACAAATTCCTCGCCGGGACCCCGACTGACTTCACATTGAGTCACTTAGCTTGACAGATGCAGTCCCGTCTATTAACTTGACATACTCAGGATTGCCTGCAAGGTGGGTTGATACTAGAACATGGGGTGACACTGAATACAAATTTGATTTCAATTCCAATTCAAAGTATTCAATTTCATTATTTCAGTATCTAGAATGAGGAAAGTTTACTATTAAGCCTTCTAACATGATTGTGATTCACATATCGCAATCTTATAGAGTTGCAAACAAGTAGATGAAAATTGCCAAAAATCTGTCAAGGTAAATTCAGACTTGTGATTTTTCCTTCAAGATGTTAGCAATATGCAATATCGATTATTTGAATGAAGTTCATGCTTCTAGCAATTTATTATCATCATCTCCGTTATCAAAATCACACTCGTCAAGATCCAAAAAAAATTGGACTAGTGATATTCTCTGAGAAATCCCGATAGGTCGTCTTAATATATACCAGCTCCTCAACCTTCTCAGATCCGAGACTATTGCTAAGTTTTTAATGAACAAATCTGAATGGTGAGAAGTTACGTTCGGAGTATGGCTCGATCTTATCATAACATAAATTTGGATTGAGATCCTTTTTAAATCTGCAATGGTGTTTTGCATCAATCAATAAGCATCTTCAAGCGCAATGAGTTATTGGTTTTCACTTGACGGAGTGCGATAATAAACTCCGTATACTACATGCACAAGTCTTTTTTCTTGTCATATGAGAGTGGTATCGAACCGTGAGAATGATTTATCAAAACATCTTTGAGTTTAAATCTTTGTGTATGACTGATGATCCAAATAAGAAAGAAGACCATGTGCCTAACTCTACATGAATATGAAATATTGTGAGGCCAACAAAACCATATATTGTAATTTTTTGAATGAAGTAAATCCGCAAGTGACCGGTGTCGTAAAACTGTTTGAAAGTTGGTGAAAATCGGAATAAACCCCCAACAGAGTCGTAGTAACCCATTGATATTTGACGATAAGCTTGTCGATGGGCTTAAGAATATCCAGACACTTCTTCAGCTTGATGACAAATGTGACATCTATGATTATCTCTTTGATTCTGATGCTTTAGTAGCACCATCAACAAATTCATGCTTCGAAATGAAAAAAACAGAAAATTTTCAATTTATAGAATTGAGTTGAAGCAGTGCTGTAGTGAATCCTATCTAGTTGTTGCAACCTAAATCAAAAAACTCAACTTCTCCTAGTTCTGCATGGTTATCAATTTTGCTTTTATTGTATGATGATAATCCAAGAATTTGACAATATTTTTACATTTATGGTCAGAGAGTAAGAGAATCTCAAATGGGTAACTAGAAGTATAAGTTGCAATTGTATCTTACTCTTTCCATGTTTTTGTTGGACCAAAAATGTACTTCACCATAAGATGTAAAACATGCGAAATACATACTTACAAAAAAAACTCAAAATTTTCAGCAAGATCCAGGCCTTGTTATATGGAGATGTATTATCAGTGATGATGCTAGCGAATACCGTGTATGGATGTAATCTGATAGCACGGCTAATGTTTTGAGCAATCCATTCAGTTGTGTTTTTTTGTTTGCCAGTGCATACGTACTTCATGAACAAGCTTGCTAGACATGCTACCACGTAATTTACATCATTGCGAATATTAAATTAACTTTCAGTCACAAGAAAAAGTGGTCACAGCGAGGCAAATAATTTGATTGTGCATCTCTCCTTAATCTCATTATAACACAGATCTAACAAATCATTGGTTAACTTCTTGCAATTAGGCAAGAACCCTTCATCGAACCGCATCATTTTGATTACATCCATCAAGTTTGAATCTTCTACGCGTTGGAAGGATGTCCATATGCAATAATAATGATAAAAATTTCTTAAACTTGTTCTTGGTTAAAGCGTCGAACATTGGTTTTGAAAATGATCTTATACACAATTGGTTATTAGATCTTTGATAACTCTTTGAACAACTTGTAGTCTATAGATCTATCGGAATCTAAAACTTCCATACAAGTTTCAATCTCTGTGTTTCTCATGTTCTTGGTATCACATATTTAGACTAAGACGTGTATGACCGGAAGACGTCTGGTCTGGAAATGAGTGTTAATTCGTTATCAAATCATATCATGCTATTCTATCATACTTGAACACCTCCTATAAGTATTATTTTAAAAAATCTCTTATATATATGCGTACTTTCTTTTGTCGCAGAAAATACAAATAGAATGCACAACTACAACTTAGCGCATCCAATATGCGTCGTGTTAAAATAGAAGCAAATTTTGTCGAAGAATTCGACCATAGTGCCAACAAGATCAATGACTATGATATCATAAACCTAGAGTATAACATGGCTATTCAAGCATCAAGAGACCAGCAGCTAGACTCTGGAACCAGCCGTCATGCTACTGGCAATAAATATACACTTAGTTCTTTTCAACAATCAGCTTCTAGCTCTGCAGTCTACACCGCCCACAGAGTTCGTTTATCAATTATTGACAAAGTAACACTGCGCATTGTCTCCAAGGAAGAGGTCAAATCCATTCTTTAGGTGCATGGACTTACAAAGAACTTGCAATCGGTTGACGGCTGAAGGACGGTAATTTTGCAATTTCTTTCTTAATCAACGGTAATTTTTTTGTAAAATTTGAAATATTTATTCAATCATCTTAATTTATAAATTATCCTTTATTAAATATGTTATGTTTCTTTTCAAAAGATTTCATTGTATCCAGAAATGAACTTGTATATTCTAATCTCAAAATTTAGATTTGCAATGCACAACTTTCACACCTACTATTCTTTATGCGCTCGACAATTTTGCCAACTGCCTTTAATATTTATTAATATCCAGGTGTATAGTTGTGCTTTATAATCCTTGTGAAAAAATATTACTACTCGCACTAGCTCCAACACAATTTGTAGCTCAAGATCAATGTTCAACGTGTCAAGCACTCTCAATACAACACACTATGTACATGATTTTACTTAGCAAATTAAGTCCATGGTACATAAGCCTCGGCAAGGTAAGTTAAAAGGTAACCGGGTAATGCATGGGCCTCTACCTTTACCCTACCTTTTACCTTACATGTAGCACTATGTTCTACCTTCACCTTTTACCTCTACCTCAGGGTAATTACCCGATTATCTCGTAGGGATTTAAAAATTTTAAAAGTTAGTCTAATCGTTTAACTATTAGGATTACTTGGTAAATCTACCTTTGCTAGTTTGGTAGTCGCAGCTTAATAAGGGATGTGACAGCAGCAGGTAGGTTGGGTGTAATGGAAGAAATGGTAGAGTTTTTCGATAGCATGGCATGAGCACCTGATCGCAATGTTCTCCAATCTGTAGACATGGCAACATCAGTTACCAAACGTTGGCACTTATGCTTACAAAAATTACAACTTTTCGACTGCAATCTTACTGTACTTTGGCAAGACTTTCTCTCGACTGTGGATTGGTCCTTGTATCGCTCACTGCCACGGAGTTTCCCGTAGCTGGTTGTGATGGACACAAAAAGGTGGGGCGAGAGAGGTTCGAACTCTCGACTAAGCCTTGTCCACGTTTTTGCTTTTCGTGGGTACGAGGTTCGTCGTAAGAAAGGTTTAGTCTATGGAGAAGAATGTCCACGTTTTTTTTACGCAGGTTACCCAGTAATTACTGGGTAACGCACAAGTCTCTACCTTTATCCTACCTTTACCTTACACTATAGCCAAACGTATTACCTCTACCTTTACCTTTTACACTTTTACCAGGTAACCCTAGAGGGTTAACTTACCTTGCCGAGGCTTAATGATACACACATAATTATTTATTAAATAGCGCAAATTGTTTCCGATAAAAGTTTATGCTAGCTCCATGATATAAATTTTACTAACTAGTTCAATTGATCATAGTTAAATAAATCATCGTCAACTATCACTTCAGTTAATTCCTAACACAAGATAACTGGTTGATCTTCTATTTTTTTGTACCCTAGATGTATGACCAATGCTACGGGTCCCATTATCCCAATGAGTTTGGCGCTAGTATTTTCAGTGGCTCTAATTGTTGTGCACGAAAAACCCACCAAATCAAAAACCAAACATGTACTATGGTGCTAGTGCACAATAACAATAAAGGGGAAATACGAACCAACCATCTCGGCCTACAATTCAATATAGTGGCATTCTGCCCATGATCTCCACCACTATATTGCAAACTGTTCATGCTAATGCATACTGTAGCAAAAACACGTTATGTCATTTCATGCTCCACCCATGTTCTTGCAACCCTAAACCCGGGCTGTTTATCATTGCATTATATATCAAAAATACATAAATAGCAAATACAATTTGTGGCATCGGTAAAGCGGTGAGGATAAACCAGGAGAGTACGAAGAGAAGGGAGACTGAAGGGTCCAGTTCCCTGCCCGTCCTCGACAATCACGGGGATTTGTTTCGTAAGGCCTGCAGTTTTCCCGTTGCCACGTGTCAGTCTCCTGGTCGTTGGAGGACTTGGCTATCTTCCACACTACAATCAGCGAGCGAATGGATGATCGGGAGAGAGAGAGAGAGGGAGATCGCGAAATTTGTACGAAAGTTTGCGTGCGATCCTTGTTTCTGCCAACTTCTTACTACTGCATGTGAGGATCGATTCGATTTAACATTCTACAGTCAACTGATTCGAAAATGCTGTTGAATCCAGCATCTGACAGATAATTCTACTCACGCGTCAAACAAAGAAAGAACCATGACTTCATTCGACCCAAATCACTGGAAATGCACACCGGAGTATATTCCTCCGATTCACCCTGTCGCACGGAATCCCAGGAACAAATATGAAGGTCGCACCAACACTTCCGTCAAAACTGTAAAAGTCTGCCAAGATTTCTACGGGGTACGTGTGGATCTGAGTTTCTGAACATGTCGACTCTGAGTTCCCGCAGTCGCAACCACCTCTTCAGTACCCGACCGCTTCAGGCATTTGATTTGACAAGCATGTGCTGTGTGTAATTCCAGATTCTGCATCCTCATGAGCTTACTGGCTACAAACATCCCGGAGCTTCTGGTCAATCGCCAGTCTTCGATGATCTGACGTACATAACGATCCTTGTTGTTGTCAATTTTCAGCTGTTTTGTGATCAAAGATTTGCTCGTTCGTCACTGCATGTAATTACGTTCTTGGTCGAGAGTCCAATGCCTTGTCGCAGAATTGAATTGCATGTGGTTTGTGTGAGGGATTTTAGTACCAACCAGTATTACCAATACAAAGTCCGTCATGTGGGCGAGGAGACGGGAGTGAACGATAAAAAGTTGTGTCCGTATCACCCTGATGCTACTCGCAACAGACCGAGAGCGGGCTTCTACAATGAAGTTGGTCTCGCTGCTCTGGACCGTCGAAACGCAAGCTATATCAAGTACTGAACGCTTCCTTTCTCTCATTTTATGCTTCAGTCATTCTGCTTTTGCCAGTCCGAAGATGTAGCCGAGCACATTACAGGCTGTCGCTGCTCGCTGTCTGTTATCTGACATTTCGCTCTTATAAGGTTGGACATCAGTTCCGCTCTTGTCACCAATTGGCCATCGTATAATGATCTTCTACCTAATGCAATTCTGCCAATGTCTCTGAAGGATCGATCCGTCATATCACCTCTGTCAGTAGCTTTGGGACTACCAACTGCCTTGACGTTCCTCATTCGCTGCCGTGGCCAAGATCTTAGGCTAAAAGCCTGTGCTTAGTTCCATCGCCAGGGGCTCAATGTGTTAGTAAGCTCAATGTGTATGAACGCAAAGGGCGTCAAGCCGTCAGGCTCCACTAACCCGCTGCATTCGTTTTCCCTCTGCCGGGCACGTCTCAAGCTAGAGCTATGTCACCACGCACTGATCGTTTCACAGATATGGCAGAAGCAGACTAAGAATAATGTTTGGATGACGGACACCTCGAAAGTCCATGAAGGTTTGACCTTCTCTTTCCCCGCACTCTCAGCACTTCGTGCTCCATTCCCCATCTGACTGTGTTACAAGCTCTATGTTGCAGGCTGATAGAGGGTCCGAGGGGACAAATGTTTACTCCAAAAACCACCAATCAACTATTTATGACCCCTCCTGCCAAAGATCCAGTCGGACTGTGGCATCCAGGAATTTGTAGAGGCAAGTTCAATCTGAAATCCCTGCCCTCAGTATTCTACTTTTCGAAGAGAGAGGTCTATACTCAATGTACTTATGTGTAGAGAACAGGAAAGAAGCCAAACAACAAAATGCATGTGCATTCTGTTGTCTATACATGTTTTTCGTTAAAACGTGTGTCAGTACTTTCTGAGTTTGCATCTACTGGCAACGAAAACGTCATATTCGCAATAATCATGCCCCTTAAAAAAGACTTGTAGTTTGTGTCCACTAACAGCTGGCAATCAGGCCGAATGCATCGACCTCCATAGAGATAGTTGTTGTAATCAATGCGTGTGATGCTGGCTCCGTTCCCTGCAGCTCGAGCGAAGTGGGTGCACAGAAAGCAGCAAGGAATGAGATGAGAGACTGGTTTCTTTGGAACGGTTTTGGAAGTAGTATAATACGTCAATTACGCAGTTCAGGCACTTACGTTCATTCAGATTCATGATTCAGCTATTTATTGTACAGTAGAGTTTACAGCGTCTTGTACATTGTACTTTGATATTTGGATCCCAGGTGTAGACTTTTGCATTCCACGTTCACGAGTTGGATCAGAGCACGCTGCTATATCTCAGCTGCATTCTAACTGTCAAAGGTGCACACGCCATTGACGTTGATTATATCACTTCCAAATTGCTGGCTCATGTTTCGAGAGGTTTTAGTAGAATGATGGGGATTGAGTGAACTGGATACAACGATAATGGGAATGATTTTGCACACCAGGAAGAAAATGTTTACTGGTTATTTAATATCTTGGATCTAAGGGACCAAATAAACAAATATATTCTTGCACCTGCAGGTGGGGCATCAGTCAGATCAAAGACTTGGCGATAGTGTAATTGCCACATTCAAAATCGATTCACGTATACTGAATGATGAGTCCGTTTGGAATGATGAAGTCAGAAGTGCTAATTTGTAATTTGTTTTCACTCGTAACCTATTCTGGATCCAACAACAGAAGACCAGCAACTACTGCAACATAAAGTTGCATCGCTTTTGTATGTGGATCACACTTTTATAGTACACAAGAAAGGCCAGTTCAGATCAATCTTAAATGGACATAAAACTCCGTCCCAAGTCAGGGGAACTCTTTTGTTGGCAAAACCTCTACTTTTGAGAACTGACAGTTTCTCGTAAAAATTAGCCTGCCATCTCACCAGAGCAAAGAGCTCACCATCCACAGCTGTTGCTGTGATCGCACAACAAGCACCGTTGGAAGCTCCCATGGATTCTAGAGCGTCCCAGCATATGGGCTGTGATAGAGTCCAGGAGTTTGTATTGACATCGTACACCGTAACATCTACAGCTTCGTGTCGAAAGTCATAAAGCTTGCCATCAACAACTACCAGAGTGTGGTCTCCTACCCCATCCAACACCTGCGGTACCTCCTTCCACCGATTCTTGGCGGGATCATAGACTTCGGCGAAGTCTGCATCCGCGTATATGTCGACACTGCCATCGTCATCCTCAGTTTCGTATCTCACCGCTCCACCCAGAACATACAACTGCTCATCTAAAGTCACCATAGTATGGTTCGTTCGCAGATTAAGTAAATCTGCAATAGGAAGCCATAAATCTTCCTTCGGATCATACATTTCGGCTTCGAGGCCTGCCGACCCTCCAGATACGAGGATATTGCCATCGATCACACCGCAGGGAAAGTCTGACCTTCGGCTCAGCATGCTAGCACACGGCTGCCACTCGCCCGGACCAGCCACTAAATCAAACATATAGACCTCGTTTCTCGTCCTGCTGTTACACTGCTCGTCTCCACCGAGAACGTAAAGCTTCCCACCCAAGAACACGCATCCACATCTGATCGGAATTCCGCTGCGAACATGGGGAATTGGAGGCAGCTGATGCCACGACTTGTCGACTGGATCATACAGGGATATGGCGAACTGCGACCACCACGGAACTGCAGCAGTTCTGGTGTCGTGGTCCATCGTTCGGATGTAAAGGTTATCTAGGGAAGGTTCTCCAGACTTGGGAACCGGAGCTCTGTGGATCAAGCCGACAAGAGTTTGGGTTGCAGTGTTTCGAACCCGAGCATCATAAACCCTGCGATTGTAGATTGCTGAACGCCAGGCGATGCTAACCGACTGGAGGACATAGAGCGTTTTCCAAGGAACCTTCGTGAGTATGCGATCGATAGTCAATTCGTTGGAAATTCCGGGTACAAGACTCTGCTCTTCCCCAGTTCCGCTTTCGGCAAATTGTCTTATCCGAGGACTCGAGCTTGAACTCGCCACTTCGCTGAGAAAATCAGTTATCATTCGTACGAGCTTTTGTCGCATCGAATCTCCAAAAGAGTTCCACCTCATTTCTGGGGTGACGGATTATCATTGTCGGTCAACGCATGCCGACTCTGTAGTCACGAAGCTCTCGAGCTCAGCACCATCTTGATGGAAAATTTGGCCCGAGTCACAGCACCTCGTTCATATGACATAGTCATCATGATTCGTTGAAGGGGATGACGTGCATGGCATCCGAGCACTCACAGTGCGACAATGTTTAGCACCTTCGATTCGTACTTTCTATCAGCCTTCCACAACAAGTAGCGCACATCAAGTATCAGTAATTCTCACAGTTGAAGCAGCGAAGTACGATCGATAGCTTCATATGAAGGCAAAATATCCACTCAAGAAAATGCCAGCGAGACCTTTGCGTCACCACGCGGAACCGTTGCAAAGAAAGCTGTGACAAGCTTTCATGAAGCTGTCAAGAGACTATGAGCATCAAGACTTTCAAGCAAATGCATTTCTACTTTCTGTAAGCTTGCGAGTTCAAGACGCCGTGTGGCCAAGAAGGCACCTGAAGTTGAAACATTGGGCGGCGAGGGTAATCAAAATGAGCGGCTGCACCCTGGAGCTGGTGCTGTACGTGAGAAGCACGACTGGAGTCCCTGGAGTCAATTATCCACTGCATTTTTCTTGGGCGGTCATAATTCGATTCTCGAATCTGCTGCAAATGTCGAATCTTCCACTCACCCGAGATGTACAAGCATCCCTGTATGATGTCCAGCCGTCCTTCAAATCCACTTCAAATCATGTGTTTGCCGGCAAGCTTTGTAGACGCTTCCTGTATTTGCTGCTTTGAGCTTTGATAGGAAAACCCACCGCCCCTTCGCACAACTACAAGAGCTGAAACGCTTCGAGAGTTTTGCCTAGTGACGTTACGATGTTTACACCACACTGGTTCTCGGGAACCCAGTTCCATTGGGTTTCTTGCTGAATGCTAGAGTTCAGTATCGTCCTTGAGTTTTGACGAAGAGCCAAAGCTTGCAATGCTCTTTCAAGTTACAGAAACCTGTGCTTTTCAACTGTGATGCCCTCGCCAGAGGGACTCGAGAAATTGAAAACATCGCTGTCACTTTACCCGAATTCGCGGAGAAAGTGGAACTATGGATACCGATTGAATTCATCACTCGGCCACTGACGGCGATGGCTTCGTATCAATTAGGTATCACCAGCAACTAATACACGATCATCGGGATGTCTACTTCAGCGATTTCCACAGCGGAGGCTGTTTGGTGCCAATGTCGTGCCAATTGCTGCTCATCTGTCTTATCTTCATAGCGACGCTGGGTGTTGCTATTGCCTTTTCTCGGTCACAAACAACGAGCCCAGGTCTGGGCCGATGGATGCGGCTAGAAATCTATATTCAATTCGAGGTCATGAGTTCGCGTCCAAAACTTCCGATACTCCGGAGTCATCCGGACCCCTGACGAGGACATCTGGCATGCACGACCTCGTTCCCCGGAGGAGAATCTCCTGTAGATAGGACTCGAAACACAGAAAGAAACTGAGGACATAACACAAGCAGGCGACGCAAGGGTACACACGAAACACGCGAGGACCTAGTTCTTGGACACATTGGCCACTTCTATGTAACAAAACATTACAACTCGTTCATCGCCTGGATGATGGAAATCCTAAACCTACCAAACTACATTGACCTTCTGTATCGAAAGGAGATGTAGTGCAATGAAAAAGCGCAAGCTCGAGTGAGCAACCCTAAACAATGCTCACTCTCGTTGCCTGTCTGAAACACGTACGAAGCAGGAGCGGCCGTACCTGTCACTCTACTTCCCCTCGTTCCTCTTCATGAGGTTGTGCACCTCTACGAGCGCAAGATCAAACGCATCCGGATTCTCCATCACCGTTCCGTTTGCCCCCGAGGTTGAAGGGTACTTTCGTGCAACATGAGCATAGAGAATTCGTGGGAGCAACTCTCCGATCTTTGCTCTCATCGCAACTATTTGAGTTTGGGGAATTCTCGTCAGCATGTCGATCACATTGTCTTTTCTGAGCTTTGAGAATGGTATAAGAATGGAAAAGCTTTCTCCATTCTCAGGAAGAAATGATATATACTGCGTCCACGCAGCCGTGGGCTTGAAAATTACTGGAATACATCCAGCGACTAACGCATCAAAGAAGGAACGACGAGTAGGACTGTCTCCCGGCGGCTGCAAGCAAAACTGCGATCTATGAAAAGTGTCCAGAGGTGCTGAAGGATAGTTGCACGATGTGTGAAGGTTATGTCCTGCTATGGGTAAGTTACCAGGATATCTCGTGTCCAGGTCGGTCTGGTTTACACCTTCATGTCCTTCGCAGATAAGTAAAGTGCATCTCCCATCCGATTCACAGTCCCTCATTAGCTTCTCTCTTATGCCACCCAATCGTTGTTTTCGAATGCCTGCCAGGGCTACAAACACTGAGCGCTGATGTGATTGAAGTGCCCAACTAACAACATCTTCCACTTGCCTGTCGCTGCGAGCATGATAGTAGGTCGGGTAGGGTATGGCAATTTCATTCTTAGAAAATGCGGGAGTGCCTCCATCTCGTTCTACTGTGAGCTTGACCATGTTCTGAAACTCAGGGTGTAAAAGCATCTGCAAGACAATTATGCACGTCAAAATCTGGCTCACCTTCAGTAAGTGCTAGTTTAAAATGTACTCGAAACTTCTCAAACTCTTCAGCTCTGCTGTGAACTCAGTCTGATACTTCACGACTTATTGGAGCAAGATGTGCTCTGGGAATCTCCAAACTAAACTATATTAAGGAAAGAACCAATATAGCTTTATCTAGCTTTGGTCACTCTGCAGCAGATGTAGCGCTGAATACACCTACCTGGGTGCCCCATGAGTCTCCTCTGGGTCTTCGAAAGTCGAGTGCAATTCGGCCCAGCGTAATGAAGTGATCGAGCCCACCTCGACGAGTGAAGAAGTATTGCTCTCGGAGCCAAGTTAAAAGTTCCACGTAGTGAGCTTCCTTCTTAACACTGCGATGAGTCATACTGTACGATAGATCCATTCCGGCGTAAAAGGGCACATAGAACATATCTGCCGACTCGATAGGCGCAATACACGGGTATTGCAGTAGTCGCTCGTGAAAGTAAAGCTCGAGGCTTGACTGCCACGAATTGAACCAGACCGAACCCTCGGACTTTACGGGAAAGATCTCGGGTTCGTAAGTGAAGGCTCGCCCCATTCCCCCATTCTCCATGTAAGGGCAAAGGTCTTCGGGTTTCTTAAATGTCGAGCAATTTCTCACCAAGTTCTCGTTGTAGATGTCAGAAAGATTATAGATATGTATCCATCGTCCTTCACAGGAGAAGGGCAGATGATGATCCAGCAACAGCGATCGCTGCGGCGTTGTGCCAAATCGTCTACGATACTGATAGAAGCTGATTAATATCAAGATAACGAGCCATGTCGAAAGGAAAAATATTCGACTTCTGACCGATGGCATGATTTTGTACTAGGCGAGAACCTCCACTCGACAAGTACAAAGTCCCAAATATAGATAGAGGTGGGCACATTGGTGAGATGTCAACCTTCGCGTGGCAGATGCGGAAGCCGAGCGAAACTCTGAAGAGACAAAGTGTTGCACTTGTTGCGATGTAAGTGGCTACAACGAGCTTTGCCCACCGACGGTCAGCCACGAGCCTCAAAACCATAGCGTTGGTTAGAAATGGACTCCCATCAGAAGAGACCACTCAGCTAAAACGTGCTCCTCGGAGATTTCCACTCTCCCCCGCAGTTTCAGCTCTGATCTCGGCTTCGGCGTCAGTGAAGAGCTCAAACCCATCTGAGCGTCTGAACCCCCCCCCCCCACCCATCGTCCAAATTCAACAAACCCTCAAACGATATCCTCGACGGGAAACCATCAGCCAAACTGAAACGAAGCGATGAATTCTCTCTGCTCCCTCTCCGTTCTCGCATTGCGCCAGAGCCCTGACAAGCTCGCACGCAATCACACTGAAATTGGAAACAGAGGACCACTCGATGACTAAGCAGTACACTACATCACTTTCTGCACGTGCGCTCGACCACAGCCCTCGATCTTACTACTGTACTGTACTCGGACATAACACACGCTACTCACACTCGAAATCAGCAAGTCCATGGGCACTCTGACGATCTTCACGGCTCCCGCGATCTATATGATTTCACTTAGCCATGCATGAATCCGCTCAGATTCTCCATGCAAGAAAACACCAATTATACCAAACATAAATACATACATAATGTAATAATTTTTCAATGATTGATTTTCAGAGATTGCACTATTTATTTATTTTTATTTCATTAACTAATACTATCCATCAAGCTTATATAATAAAAAATATAATGAATATATGTTCATTTTTTAAATCTAGTAGTATAGAAAAAACATAAGATGTATAAACAATGAAATATATATGTCTCAATAGATGAGAACATTTGAAATTGGAAAAAATTTCATACTAAAATGTAATATTTTATCAAAAAAAAATTTCAAAAAAAATTTCTTATATTTTCAATCTAATGTGTCTCATAAATTTGATAAATAATAACAATAAATATATGTATTCATTTGGATTATTTTTTATTGTGATTCGGTGATCATCTTTACTTTATTACGATATGATAAAAATATCTCAAATTTACGATTTATATTATAATTATTTTAGTTGAAATATATATTGTAAGATTGACTTGTAGAATCATTATATTTCATTCATTATGATGTGAGTGTGTTAGTTATTACATGTAAAATCATTATATATTATTTATAATTGATAATTTTGATTTTATTTGATTTAAAAATCATACACACCATAATATTTCAATTTTCTGATGTGGCATGATGGGTCAAACTTGTAAATTTAAGTTTTTAAAATCCATAAACAATATGAAATTTATTTTAAAAATTGAACATATAAATATTTGCAGTTATTACTTGATAAATTCATTCTGAAAAAAAAAACAGATGAAATTAAAACAAAAAAGTAAAAAAATAATTTAAATTTATATCAATTTCAAATCCTATGAATTTATTAATTTTATTTTTTTTAAACAATTATAAAATAATCTTCAATATAAATTATTATTTTTTACTTCTCTTTATAAATTTTATATATATTTCTAATTTTTAGTTTTCTAGTAATTTTTCTATATAGACTTTTCTAGTTTTTGGTAGCATATTAAATAATTTTTTATAAATCGATATTGCTAATATTGAACATAGCGAATGTTTGAATTTTATAAGATTGATTCTCTATTAAATTATAATAATTGGACTTTTTTCAAATAAATTATAAAAATTTTATGTTCGTAAACAAAATATTTATTTTTATGTTGTGCAATGTTTTAGAAATTCTACCTTTAATGTCATTTTGGTCATTTCAATGCAAAATGCATTGCAAGTTATTATTAAAGTGAGTTGCTTTTGATTCAAATATTCATCATATGCTTTAAAATCATTAGTTTATAATCAAATCTTTAATAATGTGTCCTCGCATATGTATTTGAAAGTATTTATTATGAAAAGAACATAATGCTATTGAAAATATTTATGTGCTCAAGAACATACATGAATATCAATCATTTGAATAGATGTTTAAATTCACATTTCATGAACAAAATATAATGTAAAGCATTTCAAAATATGATATATTTTATTATTATTATTCATTTTGTGAGCATTGTGTGAATTTTTTTGAACAAATATGCAAATGAGTTTGATTATGCATGATTCATTATCTAAATATCATTTTTTATGAACTTACATAGTAATGTGAACAAGTGCCTAACGAGATTTTTCAGGAGGCAGTGTCCAGTCCGCTAGGTAGAGCCGCATGCAAATAATCTTTTTGCCTAACTTTGTTACATAATTGTGTTAAAACCGAAACTCTTGTCACTCATGACAGAGAATTCAAATGAGTAGGTCCATATTATAAAAAGAAACAAATTTTGTGTATTAATCCAAGTGCACTGTGTTAAAAATAAAACTCTTGTCACCCATGACAAAGAAGTCAGATAAGTAGATTCAAACTTCAAAAAAATCTAATTCTGTATATTAATCCAACTGCAAACGTCGAGTGTTCAGCGCTTGAAATTTCTCCATAATAACGTTAGTGGTAATTCTTTGTGCAAACTCTTTTTCATTAAACAAACTGATAGACTCCGCAAGTTACCCATACTCCATTTTGTTACTCAGTTGCATTTACACAATCTTCAATGTTGCGAACAAACGTTTTGTTGACGCAGTGCTGACAAGTAAAGTTAAAGCCAAATTGATTAGTCGGTAAACAATATGATAAGTAACAAACTTCTTGAGTTCAAACATCTCTCACGGATAACGAGATCAAATTCTAGAAAAAGCTTTCTTTAACCTCAACTTTATGCAGAATTGCACAATCTGTTGTTCTAACTTCACCAAATCATATTGTTCAAAGTCACGTATATACATCCGTGCCAACTAAACTAGCTTTGAGACATTTCTATGAGTGAGAAGGTAATATGGGCATAAATAGGTAATCCGTTTCAGCAATGCAAACAAACATTCAAGAAAACAATCATCAAGTTCATTTAACTGTGAATCCACAATGTTGAAGAACATCTCCACACAATAATAATGATCCAAGGTTATGTTGTCAGCATTTCAACGAGTACGTCCCGTAAGCACATAACTTGATTTCATATCAGGGGCAGCGATGTTTTTTTGAGACAAAAAGATTGAATCTCTCCATTAATTGTCTTCCATCCTTCTTCCAATGTCAATTCCTGCAATTCATACTTTATAACAACAACAAGATCCATAGCGTTGACAATGTCTTGGTCCTTACGTTGTAAAGCTTTAGAAAGAACTTTACACTTTCTTAAAACCATCTTTATAGTGTGTAACATTAGAACAAAGTCTAAGCTCCATATAGCTTTCAAGAGTCTTGACGAATCTATTACAGTTGCATTTTCCACAATAAATTCAAGAACTTTGACAGCTAAATCATTCAGATCAAGCATTCTACAAATAGAAACAAAATGAGTTTGTCATCTTGCTTCTTCTGGCCGTTGGAGTGATTGCTCCTGATATAATCCGCAACCTGTTCTAATTTTTTGCCAACTATTGTATCACAAAGTTTGGCTGCTAGTACTTCTTGAAACTGATCCGCACGTTTACAAGAAGCACTTACAGTGATACATAATGACGAAAGTTCAGTAGAAAATCAACAAACTTTGATGTGATTCTTAGCTGCTAACATCAAATCAAGTTGAAGTTGGTGTGCAAAATAATGAACATAGTATGTTGAAGGAACTTCTCTTTGGATGATATTCTTCAACACGTTAATGTCTTCACTCATATTAAATGCTACATCATAACCTTGTCCTCGTACACGGAATTGCAAAAGATCATTTTGGCTCAAAGTGGAAACAATGACAACCATGAACGATTCTGAACATGTACCAGCAACATGGAACATATCCAAAAACCTCTCCTGAATTTTTTTAGAATTGTTGACAAACCTTATAACCAAAAACATCTTCTTTTTTGTTGATTCATCTCGAGCCTCATCAATCAGCAAACAAAAAAAGTATGTCATCGATCTACTTCACAAAATGTTCTCGGACACATGAAGCCATGGCCCTAAGTATGTACTTCTAGATGTGTGGACATATCATCGTCGCATTCTTTGGTGCAAAATCAATGCAAACATGTTGATAATTTGCAGAATGCTAATTGAGAAGAGTAAATAGCTCAAGAAAAAATCCACAATTGAATGAGTCTCTTGATTCATCATGATCGCAAATAGCAAGATCTTGATGTGCCAAAAATTGCACTGTCTCGATAGACGCTATCAACCGAAGTCTGTGATCTACTTTTTGTTTTTCATATTGACGATCAAATGTGACTTCAATCAAATAATGCAATTAGGTAACGAGTTTCAAGCAATGAAGTGCATAGAGTGAACTGAAGTGTGTTTATCAATATGTTTTGCCGATTTACGGTCTTTTCTAGTAATTTTGTTCCAACTTGCAACACCTTCATTGACAAATTGTCTCAAAGCTTGAGTATTCTGCACAAATAAATAACAAGAAAAGCAATACACAATATACTTTGCAAGGCTGTGTTCAAGCCAAGAATGCAAAGTAAACCATTGAAAACTGAAACGGCAAAATTTACCACTGTGTTTTACATAATGATATTTTAATAGGTGTGGTTGAAAAGATCCCTTAGATATGTAAGTTTTTTAAATTCTCTCCCTATGAGAGGCCGAATATGACAAAATGATTGGTCTCAAACCTAGATCGCACTCCAACGCGGCCACAAACATATCCTCTATACACTGACAATTTGATACAATAGATGTTAAAATCACTTATACGGGCAAACTTGACTTTCCAACCACAAAACAATCAAAAACAGAAAATACAAGCGTCAAGTTTTACCAACCTTAAAACAATCAAAAGCAAAAGATAGAAGAGTCCACTTTCTACAATCACAAAACATTCAGAAAAAAGATATAAGCATCCGATTTTCCTCTCTATGTATAAAGTTTTGCATTTCGAAACTGCTGAAACTTATTGTTAAGGAATAATAGCAGAATTAATGAACCGTCAACATTTTACCAAACATACAATGTATCAAAATAAGTTACAATGTGCAAACAAAAGATAAATACATAAGCATCCGAATCAATTTAAAGATAGAAGAAGTCTCAGAGAATGAAAAAGATAAATGTTGTTTTTCTCATAGTTCTATGTACATTTGACTTTGTTTTCCTCTACGACGTGCATGCAACCTCGAAGACAAACAGTTCGTTTGTTAAGCGATATTGTGGGCAATTAGAGTCTCTAGCTGGTAGGATGTCAATTGCCGCTATGACTGACTAGTTTGAGAAAGAAAATCCAATGCAAAAAATGATCTGAACGCTTCTTCAAATGTTCTTCATGCTATTTTTAAGCCTGCTGCACGTGAAGCAAAGCAAGCAGGAATTTTTGTTAAGCAAATGTACTGATAACTTATAGATGACTTGCTTAATATGCCACAGTCTAATGCTTCTCATAGTAAAACAATACTCATCTATGTTTAGTTATCAAGCATTCTTAGAGACCAGACATCCTCCTCGGCAGCGTTCCAACATTATTTGACACAAGTGAAGAAAAGTATTTCAATCAAAGTTTTTGCTCCTATGAACCTGCCCGTATGAGTATCTTGAATCAAACAAACAATTTGAACAAATGATGAGAGAAACAAAGTCCCAAACGAGTTACAAAACACAGACTCTTGAAAATGATCTGAAAGTTTCTCCAAATGTTCTTCGTGCTCCTATGAAGCCTACCCGTATGAGTATCTTGAATCAAACAAACAGTTTGAATAGATGATGAGAGTATCGCAGTTCTAAACGAGTAAGAAAGCCCATGTGATTTACCACATTCAATCTAATGAGTTTTGAATGCCACGGGCCGGGTTTTTTCTCTCATCGCGTCTTGAAGATAAAGAACTTTGAGGTGATGTTGTCTTTGTAAACGTAGCACACATGCGTTTTTTCAGGGTAGGGTTTGCTTTTGGAAGGTGGTGAGTATTGAGGAGGCATGCCTCCCCCTAGCTCCGCCACTGAATGTGAACATAATCTATTTAGCATATCAACTTAAATGATGATTTTAAAGTAAAAGTTGAAACTGTCAATTAGATTCAACTGAGTTTTATTGATTCATTTGTGATGATGAATTCATATTTGGATTTAGTGTAGTTGACATCCTAGATTTATATTCTATCTACAATCTTTAAATTGTCAATTGAATTTTGATAATACTATAAAAAATTGCATGTTTAAAAATTTGGAATTCAATTTTTAATGAATGAAACACTACTAAATATTGTTTTCATTTTCTTCTCATACACTTACAATTTGAGTGATATTTTTTGAATCTAAATAATAAAATGTTTTTTTTCTTTTTAAATTTTATGATATTATTTTTATTTTTAAAAATACTTTATTAAATATATTAAATATAAATATAATATAAATATATAAAAATTTTATTAAAAAATCTATATAAATTATTTTTTCAGGTTTTTTTATTGTTTGTATTATTTATTTCAAACTTTTATGTATTGAAACATAACGATAAAATATAATTAATATAAAAAAATTGCATCAACATAAAAATTATAATTTTTTACTTTTACAAAATTATCAAAAAATAGTTTTTTTAATTTAAAAGTATTGATGAATTTATTTTGTTTTACATAAATTTTAACAAATTTATTAAAGATATTATATTATCTTGATATTGTTGATGTTAACTCTGGTTAAGTAGTTAACTGAGCTTAATCGCATTTGTAACTATTTATAACATAGAGTGGTTGTCTACCTTGAGTATATATACCCTAAGGATGGTAAGAAGTTTCTCACTTCAAGGAGTAAACTCTTTCAATTGTATTACTCCGTGGACGTAGCCCTTGAAAGTGAATTGTGATATCGGATGTTGCACATGTGTTTTAAGTTGTAGAAGTAGCCAGGTGAGTAATGATGATTAGCCAAGACATATCTAAGTCTAGCTAGTTATGACTAAACTAGTTAGTTATAACTAAGATTATATATTCATGATTAAGTTTAGCTATAATGTTTATAGTTGGCGGAAGAATTAACGGAGTTCTAGAAGAGTGGAGTGAGCATTTCTATTTTGTCTTTTACAAAGCAATGAGCATTTCTATTAAAACTTTTCCAAAGGTCTAGATTCCAATGGATTAGATATTTGACTATAAGCTTGGATTTGATTGATTTGACTAAATGTATGAAAAATAATTGGCTAGACTAAGTCTAATGTTGACCTAGTGGCTATGAAGCTTGTAGAAGTTTAAAAGCTTCCAATGGCATGTCGTCACCTCAACCTCGGATTCCCAAGACTTCTAGAAGGTTTAGATATGTCAATGGCATGTTGCCACATATTGTGGGTTAGTCAAACCTACCTAGGTAAAAATGAGTTAGAAGAAATTACCACATGTTACTATGGTAACTTCACAAGTTATAGAAATAGAGAGGTAGAGTAGCAACTCTCAAGCAAGTTGGAGAGATCATGTGGAGTGACTTGTTTCATGTATGAAAGAGTGAAGATTTTCAATACCTTGGAGTGTCGATGTGTGTGAGAGTTGGAGTGCTACCTTGAGTGATTGTGTGACTGGGTGTTTCGGCTATGAGTGTGAGGATGAATCCTAGTCTTCTAGAACCATGATGCGCTACCACAAAGCCATATGAGGTAAACTTGAGTGAGAGTCAGCCCGGAGGTTGCAGAAGACACACGCGATATACGTGTGTCTTCTGTGTTTATTGTGTTGTTGATTTGCTTAGCAAGAATTGGTATCGAAGTAGAATCCGGTTTGGTGTTTGTGTCAGAGTGTTTTTTGTGATGGCTTTCTAACACGTGACGTTTTTTATGTGACAGTATTTGACGGTTTTTTACAAATGTAGGGTTTTCACTTCATACGAAGTTTTTTTCCTGTCGTTAACAAGTTTTTTGTTACTGACGGATTCTTTGACGATCAATTGGTATCTTTGACGATCAAGGAGAAAGTGTTCAATTTGAGCTCGTCTGTGCAGCAGGGAGGATCGAGAAGAGAGTGTTCAATTTGAGCTTGTCTGTGTAGTGAAGAGTAGGAGGAGAGAAGATCAAGGAGAGAGTGTTCGATTCAAGCTCGTCTCTGCAGGAGGAGAGGTGTGAAGAGGAGGAGTAGAGTAGCTCAAGCCTCCCCCTCCCCCCAACGAAGGCAAGGAGGGAGTGTAGCGGCAGAGCGAGGAAACTTCCTCCCGCCCATGCGGTTAGGACTGCATGAGCGGAGGTTAGGAGCACCCCCACCCGCGCGGTTAGAGATGCAGGAGCGGAGGAGACCTCCGCGAAGGCAGGTAGCGACAGCGGAGCGGCCGCAAGATGGTAGAATAAACCACCCCACCTCCCGCGAAGGCAGGGAACAGCAGGAAGCAGCCAGGAGAGTAGAGGATTCTTACCAGTGCCCCCCTGCAATTAAGGAATTGAAGTGACTTCATAAATATGTGTAACACTAGGGTTTAGAGAGAAGTTCACTCGAAGATAGAAACGTAAACTCTGAAGATGGGAGATACCAACAATGGTTCTCCTCTCCCTTATATAGCTCTCACCAACAAGTACAAGGTGATAAGATCTAATCCCCACCATCCATCCCACTCCTAGTGGATGGATGACGTGGCGGATAACCCTAACAAGCACACGGATTGCTGACGTGGCACTGTCAACTAACACATCCACTTTGTACCTACCAAGTGTGCGGATCGCTGACGTGGCAGCTATGACTAGTGCACACTAAAGTATCTACATCAATATTCAGAGTAACCTCTATTTTAGTTCTAACTAACTAAAGATGGTTACAAACTTCCCTCCTTTTAAGATGCAACGTCCTCGTTGCACAAATGTTCAAACTCCTAAACTATCAAAGGTGCATTTGTTAAATTTTTAACTGGTTCCCAAGTTGATTCATACGATGGATAGCCTTTCCATTGAATCAAATACTCTACATTGGGATATTTATGACCTCGAATACGTTTCTTGAATATCTTTTCTACCT